CCAGCTCCGCACAAATTGTCCAACACATCAAATCAACACTAGTGAACTGCAGTTACCAGACCTGTTTCAGTTACCAGTACCTGAGCAAGACACCTACAAACCGATGATTATTGACAAAAGCGCACCTAGAAACGTTAAAGGAACTGCGACGGAACACAGATATCCTGGTCACTAGACCTGATAAAGTAACCGGCGTCGTTTTAATGAAAAGGTCGGACTAAATAAAGAAGATGCAAACGATCCTATCAGATCAGACTAGATTCAAGAAAGTAGACAAAGAAAAAGATCGCACAGAGGAAGTAGAATCTCAGCTGACTGACTGCTTACGAAGACTCCACACGGGAGGTTTCATAAGCGACCGGGACTTCGAAGGCCTCCGACCAGTAGGCACGCACATCCCCCGTTTGTATGGTCTACCAAAGATCCATAAGGATGGCCTGCCGGTTCGTCCCATTCTGGACGTGCGCAATTCACCGTATAATGCGATAGCGAAATGGTTGGCGGCGAAACTCAAGCCTTTGCAGCATCAACTGGCACCATGGAGCTATCGAGACAAATCCGAATTTATCGACGACATCAAACATGTGAACTTAAACGGCATGAGGATGCTCTCCCTAGACGTCTCCTCACTGTTTACAAACGTCATGGTTACCGAGACAATCGAATACCTCTGCGAATTCCTAGTGAGCAATCAACTAGAAATAGGAATACCGACAAACGTACTAAAGGAACTACTACTGAAGTGCACACTCAATGTGCAGTTCCTCTTTGACAGCCAAATATACAGACAAATAGATGGCGTTGCCATGGGCTCGCCTCTGGGACCTCTCCTGGCTGACATATTCATTGGCAAGCTCGAGAAATTTCAACTAAACGATCAGATCCACATGTTAAAGCACTACGGTCGCTACGTGGATGATATCTTCTTGATCGCCACAACCGAAACCGATAGAGATGCACTCTTAAACGCGGTCAATCAAGCCCATCCATCCATACAGTTCACGTAGGAGATGGAAACAGCAGGTTCGCTTCCTCTCCTGGACGTCCTACTAACTCGTAGACCTGACGGTAGCGTCCGAAGGAGCGTGTATAGAAAGAAAACCTGGTCTGGACAATATACGAACTTTAACAGTTTCGTACCACTCCAAAAGAAGTGAAATCTAGTTCGCTGCTTAATGCAAAGAGCTAGAAAAATGTGCTCAGAAGACACTATTGAAGATGAACTCGAGAAAATCCAGGACTTACTCAGTAAGAACCTATATCCCGAGAGATTCATTACCAAGAATATGGCTGCCAAAGAAATAAAACCC